GTCCACTCTCAGCGGTTGGAGGGCAGAAGGTGAAGGGAGGGGGGTAAGGGTCTTCCCACTTACCCCTCCGAATGTTAGTTTAGCGACCTTGGTGAGAAGGGCCCTGGTCCTTCACCAGGGCGACTTTTTTTTTCTCTTAGGAACTAAGAAGGGAAGCGGAAGGGACATTTCTACCTGACTCGCTCGAATGTGGTTGGTAATAGTTTGAATCGTAGGTTGCGAGATTAAGATTTCCGTTCGGACTTTTTAACTCGGAGGGTTAGCCACCTAGATTACCTAACAAAGTCAGTGTCTCATCGAGACTGTCCTGTCTTATTTCCATTGGAACCTCAGTCATGTCCCCCCGGATGATGCGACCCACACCAGTCGACTAACACCCAGGTATCTACTTGCAGCAGTAGGTTGACTGATGAACAGTGATAAGGAAAACGTGTTCGATATGTTCTAACCCCCGCCGGGAAATCGAACCCTGGTTCTCAGTGAGTGAAGGAGAGCTTGTCCATCACAGACCACGGGTCGCAAGCTAGGTCCATAGGGTAGGGGTTAATGGTGTAGGGGTGATGTTAACACGTAGGGTGATTGTTGTAAGGAGGTGGTTGTTGTGTATAAGGGGTGTAGTTGTAAGGGTGGATGTTGTTGTAGGGGTGATGTTGTTTGTAGGGTGGATGTGTTGTAGGGTGGATGTTGTTGTAGTCTGGTGGATGTGGTTGTAGGGTGGAGGTTGATGTAGGGGTGCATGTTGAGTTGTCAAGGGTGGATTTGTTGTAGTAGGGTGGATGTTGTTGTAGGGGTGGATGGTGTTTGTATGGTGGATGTGTTGTTAGGTGCATGTTGTTTGTAGGGTGCATGTTGTTATAAGGGTTGATGTTGTTGTGCGGTGGATGTTGTAGGGGTGGCTGGTGTTGTAGGGTGGATGTTGTTGTAGGGGTGGACTGTGTTTAGGGGGTAGAATCTTTTGTAAGGTGGATGTTTGTTGTATGGGTGGCATGTTGTTGTAGGGTGGATGTGGTTGTAGGGTGGGATGTGGTTGTTAGGGTGATGTTGTTGTAGGGGTGGATGGATGCTGTAGGGGTGGTTGTGGTTGTAGGGTGATGTGGTAGTAGGTGATGTGGTTGGCAGGGTGGATGTGGTGGTAGGGTGGATGTCGTAGGGGTGGATGTTGTTGTAGGGGTGGATGTGGTTGTAGGGTTGGATGTGGTTGTAGGGGTGGATGTTGTTTGTAGGGTTGGATGGTGTTTGTAGGGTGATTTGTAGGTGAACATGTTGTTTGTAGGGTGCATGTTGTGTTGTAGGGGTGCATGTTGGTGTAAGGGTCTGGTGCTGCAGGGGTGGGATGTTATTGTAGCGGGGGATGGTGTTGTAGGGGTAGATGTTTGAGGGTGCATGATGTTGTAGGGGTGCATGTTGTAAGAGGTGGATGTTGTAGGGGTGGATGTTGTAGGGTGGAATGGTGTTGTAGGGGAGGGATGTAGTTGTAGGGATGGATGTTGTAAAGGGTGGAATGTTGTTGTAGGGTGGAATGTTGATGTAAGGTACTTATTGTTGTAGGGGTGCATGTTGTTGTAGGGGTGATAGGTATGTTGTAAGGAGTGGATGTATGATAGGGGTGGATGTTAATTGTAGGGGTTGGATGGTGTTGTAAGGGGCTAGATGTTGTTGTTAGATGAGGGTGCATTTTTTGTAGGGGTGCATGTTTTAAGGGACTGATGTTGTTTTTGTAGTGGCGTGGATGTTTGTAGGGTGGATGGGTGTGTAGGGGTGGTTGTGTTGTAGGGGTGGATTTGTAAGGGTGATGTTGTTGTAGGGGTGGATGTGTTGTAAGGGGTGGATGTGTTGGTAGGGGTGGATGTGGTTGTAGGGTGGAAATGTGTTGATAGATTGTAGGGGTGGATGGGTTGTAGGGTGGATGGTGTTGTAGGGTGGATGTTGTTGTAGGGGGAATGTTTGTTTTAGGGGTGCATGTTTACGGGAGGAGGTTGTTGTAGGGGTGGGATGTTTATTGTCGGGTGGATGGTGTTGTTGGGGTGGCGATTTGTTGTCAGTAGGGGTTGGAATTGTTGAGTGGTGCTTGTTGTTTTGTAGGGGTGGAATGTTTGTAGGGGTGGATGGGGTTGTAGGGGTGGATGTTTGTTGTAGGGTGGATCAGTGTTTGTAGGTGCAATGTTGTTGTTAGGGGTGCATGTTGTTGTAAGGGTGGATTGTTGGTTGTAGGGGTGGAGTTTGTTGGTAGGGGTGGTGGTGGGTGTTGGTGGATTTTCAGTTGTAGGGAGTTGTTGTAGGGGTGCAATGTAGTTGTAGAGTGGATGTGGTTGTAGGGGTGATGTTGTTGTAGGGGTGGATTGGTGTTGGTACAGGGTGGATGGGGTTTGTAGGGGTGCATGTTGTTGTAGGGGCATGTTTTGAAGGGTGGGATGTTGTGTAGGGGTGGTTGTTGTTGTAGGGGTGGGATTGGTTGTTAAGGGGTGGTTGTGTGGTGTAGGCTGATGTTGTTTGTAGGGGTGGATGTTGTTGTAGGGGTCCATGTATATTGTAGGGTGCATGTTGTTGTAAAGGTGGATGTTGTTTAGGGGTGGATGTTGTTGGTAGGGTGGGATGTGGTTGTAGGGGTGCAGTTGCTAGTAGGGTGCAATGTTTTTGTAAAGGTGGATGTTGTTGTAGGGTTGATGTTGTTGCCAGGTTCGCACACAAGTGGAAATAAACGAATATCGATCTATCTATCTATAATAATTGGATAGTGGATTGACAAGGATATATATGTGCATGGCATAATGAACTAAAGTTGTAGATAAAGAGTAATCAAAATTATCCCAGTATAGCATACAATAGTATAGTGTAGAAAGGGGCATATCTTACAAAGCGACTGGCACTAGCGAACTATTGCCAGAGGTCCAGTGAAGCTGTTAATAACGGAATAAGTAACAAACTATATGTCATAAGATATGAAACGAGTGATGGTAGCATTGAGGAGCAGGGAACACAGCAATAATAAATTGAGGCATACGACCGTTACGCTACTAACAACAGGAAATAATCATTTTCCTTAGAAGTGTAGGGGGAAAGTTATCTAGGCATACAATGAACGTGTGGAGTGTGGCAAGTCTCCTGCAGCTCACACCCACCCCCCACCCACCCTACAACACCACCACCCAACCACACCCCCAACCACCCTACAACCACCCACACCACACCTACACCACCACGCCACCCTGCACCCACCACCCACCTACAAACCACCCACCCACCCTGCACCATCCACACGCACCCTGCACCCACCACACCACCCTACACCACCACCCACCCTACACCACCCCACCACACCCTGCAACCCACCACCCACCCTACACAACCACCCACCCGCACCATCCACCCACCCTACAACCTACCACCCACGCCCTGCACACATACCACCCACCCTGCCCCACCACCCACCCAACACCCACAGCCACCCACCCAGCAACCACCACCCACCCTGCACCACCAAACCCACCCTACACCCACCCAACAACCACCCACATAACTGCAAACTTGGGTCGTATAAATACATTCTTGCATATTACTGCACCACAAGAGAGAAGTAAAGTCAGGAAATCAGTTTTCTTCCGTGGCATACAGAGTGTAGTAGGATACAGACAGGATGTTCAGCACAGCATATCTGTGGACATTGATAAAAAAATCCTTGGAAGTAAATCAGAATCACAATGCAAACTAATTGCTTTTTCCAAGCACCATATCTCTTGTACTAAACTTAATAACAGCCTCAAAAAAATACCTTGAACTAGCAAGGTCTTCCGGGTTGTGCAATAAAGATGTACAGAAACTTTGGGCAGGTATCAGAAAGGACTAAGGAGAGTAATAAATGAAAAAACATAATCAAGACAACAAGGAGACCTCTTGGATATGTCTACCAAAAATATATAAAACATGGGGAGAAAGAGATAGTGTACAAAAATGCAGAAATGTCCATACCACCAACAATTGACTCTCGAAACTACCTAGTCACAACACTGGGCAGAAGCCAGACCCTCCCCCACTCTTAGCACTAATACCCAAAAGTGCTGGTGCTTGCCCAGGCTCCCCCAGGCCAATACACCAATACCCTCAGTGCTGGTGCACTTCCCAAGACCCCAGCCCCACCCCCCCAGACCTCAGTTGCGGACACCAGACCCAGCCCCAACCTTACTGCTGTCCCCCCCCCGCCAGCCCGACTCTCCTAGGGACACGACCCATGACCACCACATAAACAGTAAATAATACAACCATCATCGCACGACAAGAACCGTGGCCCACAGCTACAGATGCTTGGAGAGGAGTCCTCTATACGTCCCTTCTCTACTGAAAGTAGATGGCAATCCCATGACACGGGGTGGCCCTGGCTTGGGATACTGAGGATTACAGTGCAGTCCCAAACTCCTGCAGAAATTGAGCAACACACCTCCCAAACAATTCTCAACCAAAGGTGAATTATGTGCAAATATTATGGCTTGGGGCAATCTGTAAGCATGGAAAAACAGGGGAAAAAAAATGGACATGCAACTATTGATCATACCCAAAAAATAAGCGACCTCCTGTCTAAAGGTAGGAGTACGTTTACTTCTTCTTCTTTCCTGACTTTCTTTCACCCAAAAAGTGCCACTCCTCGGTCCTCCAGAAGCAGTGTTTACAACAGCGAGTGCCCCCTGCCAATACCACTAAAAGGGACCAGATGGCACAGACCCCCACAAGAACAAACAATAGTAGCTACGACTACCCAACTCCCAGGGACTTTTTAATAGAACAAGAGAGAAGAAGGAAAGAAAAAAGAAAAGGAAAAGAAAAGAGAAGAATAAACAAAAACAACAAAACAAGAAACAAAAGGAAAAAGAAAAAAAGAAAAAAGGAAAAGAAAGAAGAGAAAGAAAAGAAGGAAGAGGGAAAAATAGAAAAATAAGGAAGAAAGAGAAAAAAGTAAAAAGGAAAAGAGAAAGGAAAGAGAGGGGAGGAAAAAAGAAAGAGAAAAAAAAGAGAAAGAAAAAAACTTAAAAAAAGAGAGAAAAAGCAAAAAAAAGAGAAAAAGAAAGAGAAAGAAGACAAAAGAAAAAAAGAAAGGAAAGCAAAAATAAAAGGAGAGAAACAGAAATAAAGAAGAAAAAGCGGAGATTAGAAAAAAAAGCCAAAAAAAAAAAAAAAAAAAGAAAATAGAGAAGAAAAAGAAAAAGAAAAAAGACACAAGAGGGAAGAAGGTGTAAAGAAAAAAAAGAATTAAAGAAAAACACAAACAGAGAAAAAAAAAGAGGAAGTAAAAGTTATCGAAAAAAAAAAAAAAAAGAGAAAAAGAGAAACAGCAAAAAGAAGGAGGAGAGAAAGAAAAAGAAAAGGAAAGAAGGAAGAAACAAAGGACAGCGAAGATGGAGGGAGGAAAAGGAGATAAGAGACAAAGAGAGAAAAGGAAAGGAAAAAAAAAAGAAGACAAAAGAAGAAAAAGGAGAGTAAAAAGGAAGAAAAAAAGCGAAAAAGGAGAAAGACAGTAATAAGGAAAAAAAAAAGGAGAAGAAAACAAGAGAGAAAAAGATAAGAAAAAGAGATAAGGATTAAGAAAAGAAAAAAGAAGACAAGAAAAGAAAGGAGAAAAAAAGAGAGACGAAAAGAGGAAAAGGAAACATGAGAAAAAAGGAAACAGAAGATGAAAAAAGAAAAAAGTTATAAGGATGGAAAAGAGGGTGTACAAAAAAAGAAAAGAAAGAAAGTCAAAGTGAAGGAAAAAAAAGAAAAAGAAAGAAAAAGGAAGAAGAAAAAAAAAGAGAAAAACAAAAAAGGAGAGGAAGAGAAGAGAAAAAAAATAAGAGAACAAAATAAGAAAGAGGAAGAGAGATAGAAAAAAAGAAAAATAAAAATAAAGAAAAAAAAAAGAGTTAAGAAAAAAAGGAAAAGAAAAAGAAAAAGAAGGAGAAAAGAGAAAAGGATGAAACAAAAGAAGAGAGATAAGAGGGGAAAGGAAAAAGAAAAGAAAAAAGAAAAAAAAAGAAATAAAAAAAGAAAAAAAAAAAGAACTAAAAATTGTGGTTTTATACACATTTTATCTTGGGGGGGGGGGGGGGTGAGAGGGAAAAAAGTAGATATTTGTTTGAGGATCTTATGGAGATGGAATGGCGAAAAAAGATAGAATAAAAAGAAGAGAAAAAAAAAAAAAATAAAAAAAATAAAAAGAAATTTAAAAAGGAAAGGTAAAAGACAAGGAAAGAGAGAAAAAAGGAGAAGAAGAAGGAAAAGAAAAAAAAAAAAAAAAAAGCAAAGAAGAAAGAAAAAAAAAGAAAGAAAAAGAAGAAAAAAATTTAAAGCGAAAGAAGAAAGACGACGCGAAGGAAACAATAGGAGAAGAAAATAGGAAGAAAAGGGGAAAGAAAAAAAAGAAAAAAAAAAAAAGTTAGTAGAAAGAAAGGAAAAGGAAAAAAAAGAAAGGAAAGAAGAAGAGGCAAAAAAAGAAGATAGGAGGAGAAGAAAGGTTTTAAAAAAAGAAGACAGAAAAATTGAAGATAAGAAAAGGGCAAAAAAGGAAAAAAAAGAGGACAGAATACATGACAGAGAAAAAAAGGAAAAAGAGACCAAAAAAAACGAGGAGAAGAAAAGAGTAAAAGAAGAAAAGCAAAGAAAAAAAAAAAAGAAGAAAGAAAAAAAAAAAAAAAAGAAGGGTAGGAAAAAAGGTAAGGAAGAAAAAAAGAAAGGAAGGTAAAAAAAGAAAAAAAAACGGAAGAAGAAGAAGAAAAAAAAAGAGATGAGGGGAACAAAACAGAAAAAAACAGAAGAAAAGAAAAAGAGCAGAAAAAAGAAAACAAAGAAGGAACAAAATTAAAGGAAAGAACAAATAGGGAAAAAGGAAAATGAAGAAAAGAAAGAAAAGATACAAGGATTAAGAATAAAAAGACAAAACAAGAATTAGACAGAATAGAATAAAGAAACAAAAGGAAAATGAAAGAACAAGGGAAAAAGAAGAAAAAAAAGAAAGAACAACGAAAAAGGAAAGAAAAGGAGGAAGAAGGAAAAGAATAAAAGGAAATAGGAAAAAGAAGAACAGAAAAAAAAAAACGAGGGGAAAGGAAAAAGAGAGAGAAAAAAAAAAAGACGAAATGGAAAAAAGAAGAGAAGAAAGTGAAGAAAAAAAAGGGGAATCAGTGTGGGAAAAAAGAAAAAAAAGAAAAGCAAGAAAACAAGAAAAAAAAAAAAAAAAAGGACAGAGAATAAACAACAGAGAAAGGGGAAGAAAGAAAGAAAAGGGAAAACGAACTGAAGAAAGAAAAAAAAGAAAAGAAGAAAAAAGAAAAAAAAGAAAAAAAAAGGGGAGAGCAAAAAAAGGAGAAGAAGGAAAGGGAAGTGAGAGGACAGGAAAATAAAGCGAAAAAAAAAAAAAGGAGGGAAGGATAGCAAAACAAGAAAGGAAGAGAAGCACAAAGGAAACGAACGGAGTAGTGCACAGAAGTAGAAAAAAAACACGCAAAAAAAAGACAAAGGAAAAAAGATAAAGAAAAAGAATTTAAAAAGGTGAAGAAAAGAAAAAACAAAAGAAGAAAGAAAGGAAAAAAAAGAAAATGGAGGAAAGAAAAAGAAAAAAAAAAACGAGAGGTAAAAAGAAAAAAAGACAAAAGAGTAGAAAAGGTAAAGAAAAAAGAAGAAAAAAAGAAGGAGGGACAGAAAAAAGAGAAAGAAAATTTAAGAAAAAGAAAATGGGGAGAAAAAAGAGAAAAGAAGAAGGAAAGGAAAAGTTAAAGAAAAGATAGAGAGAGGAGAAGGGGAGAGGAAAAGAAAAGGGAAAAAGGAGGAGGTGTAAGAAGAAAAAAAAAAAAGAAAGGTAGGAAAAACACGAGGAAAGGAGGAGAAAAAAGAAGAAGGAAAGAAAAAAAAGAAAAAGAAGAAAGAAAAAAAAGTAAAAAAAAAAAAAAAAGAAGAAAGAATAGAAAAAATGAAGAAAAAGAAGAAAAAAACAAAATAAGAAAAGTAAAAAAGAAAACAAAAAAAGACAAATAGAAGGAAAACAAGAAAGAAAGGGAGAAAAGAAAAAAAAACAAAGAAAAAAAAAAGAAAAAAAAAAAAAGAAGGTACAATAAAAGAATAACACAAAAGGGCAGAGAGAAAAACAAGAAAGGAGAAAGAAAGAAGAAGAAAAAAAAAAAAAAATAAGGACAAAAAGAAAAAAGGGAGAAAAAATAGTAAAAAAAAACAGTAGGAAGAAGAGATAACAGAAAAAGAAAGAGGAGAGAAAATAAAGGACGAAAAAGAAAAGAACAAGAAAAAAAAAGAGATAAAAGAAAAATAGAGAAAAGAAGAGATAGAAAAAAAAAAAAAAAGTGAAAAAGAAAGAAAGTAACAGAATTAGGGAAAAAGGGAGAAACAGAAGTAGAATAGAAAAAAGACGTAAAAAAAAAAAAAAAAAAAAATTAACAAAAAAAAAAACAAAAATATTTTAAAAGAGAGGGAAAAACAAGAAAAAATGATTAAGAGGAAAAAAAATGAAAAAAAAAAAACGAAAAGGAAAAAAAAAAGAGAGAAAAGAAAGAAAAAAAGAGGAAAGAAAAAAAGAAAAAGAAGAAAGAAAAGAAAAAAAAAAAAAAAGAAAAGAAGAAAACAGAGAGAAAGAAAAGTAAAAGAAGAGGAAAGGGGAGAGAAAAGAAGAAGAAGAAAAAACAGAAGAGGAAGGAAACGAAAAAAACAAGAAAGGAAGAAACAACAAGAAAATAAGCAAACAAAAAAAGAAAAAGAAACAAAAAGAGAAATAATAATCCATGAGGAAAAAAGGGAAAAGGGAGAGAATAAAAGAAGAAAATGACAAAGAAAAGAAATAAAAGAGGAAGTTAAAAAAAAGAAGGAGAATAGAAAAACGACGGGAACAGGAGAGGGTTCAGGAGAAAAGAAAGGAGGACAAAAGAAAATAGAAGAGATGAGGAAAAAAAAAAAGAAGAAAGAAATAAAAAAAAGAAACAAAAAGAGAGAACAGAAAAAAAAAGTACAGAAAAGGAAAGGAAAGGAAAAATAAGAAACAAAGGAAAAGGTGAAAATAAGAAAAGATGAAAAGAAACATAAAAAAAACGAGTGGAAAAAAAAAAGGAAAAAAAGAGAAAGAAAACAAAATGACAAAAGAAATAAAGAAACAGAAAAAAAGGAAACAAAAAAAGAAAAAAGAAAAAAAAAAAAAGAGACAAAAAAAAAAAAGAAAGAGCACAGTAAAAGAAATTTAAAGAAGACAGAGAAAAAAAAGAAAAATGAAAAAGAAAAAGACAAGAAATTATGTAGACAAAAAAGAAAAGAAAGGACAAAAAAGAGGAAGGAAAGGGGAGAATAGGAAAGGAAAAAGAAAGAAAGAGATAGAAAAAAAAGAAGGGAAAAAAGTCTAGAAAGAGGAAAAAAGGAAAAAAAAAAAAAAAGCAAAAAAACAAAGAAAAAACTGGAAAAGAGAAAAGACAAGTAAAGGGAATAGAAACAGAAAGAAAAGGAATAAAAATTAAGGATAAGAAGGAAAGAGATAATAAAGAAGGAAAAAAAGAAAGATAAGAGATAAAAAAAAAATGTCGGGAAAGGGAGGAGAAAACATAAGAAAGAAAAAAAGAAACAGATGGAAAAAAAGAAGAAAACGAAAAAAAAAAAAAGAAAAAAGGAAAAAAAAAGAAAATAAAAAGAAGGAAGAAACAGAAAAAGGGAAAGAAAAAAAAATTAAAACAAAAGGAAAATATAGAACAAGGAAGCAAGAAAAAAGATAATAATAAGAAAGGGAATAAAAGACAAAAGGAGCAAATAAAAAACAACGAAAGAAAAAAAAAAGGAAGAAAGAAAGAAGTGGATAGAAGGAATAAACATTAAAAAAAAGTGAAAAGCGAAAACTGGACAAACAAAAGAAAAAGAAAGTATAATATAAAGTAAACCGAGAAAGAAGAAGAATGGAAGATATTAGATGAGACAAAAAAAATAAATAAAAAAAAGGAGAAAAGAAAAAGGAAAGAACACAAAAAGAAAAGACAACAAAAAGGGTTAAAAAAAAGAGAGGAAGAAGAAAAGAAAAAAGAGAAAAAAGGAATAGGAGGGGAAAGAAAAAGGTAAAAAGAAAAAGGACAGAAAAAAACAATTTAATAGTTAAAGGAGAAAATGAGAAAGAAAAGGGAGAAAAAAGACAGAAGAAGGAAGAAAAAAAAATAAGGAAAGGAAAAAAAGACTAAACGAAAAGAAGAAAGGAATCAGTAAAAAAAAAAAGAAAAACAAAAAAAGAGAAGAAAGAAAGAAAGCAAGGTGAAAATAGAGGTAAAAGAGGACAGGAGAAAAGAAAGAAAAGAAAAAAAAAAAGGAAAGAGACAAGGGAGTAAAAAAAGTAATCACAAAAAGAAACAAAAGAACAGAAGATAGAAAAGACGAAAGAAAAATAAGAAGAAAAAAAATAGAGAAAAAAAAGACAAAAAAAATTTAATAACAGAAAACAAAAAAAAGAAAAAAGAAAAAGGAGAACAAAAGGAAAAAAACACAAAAATAAATATAAGGAGAAGTAAATAGAAAAAAAAACAGAAAAAAAAAAAAAGAAAATCAAGTAGAAGAAAAAAGAGAGAAAAACAAAAAAAGTAAGAACAATGGTAAAAAAAGAAAATAGAGAAAGGAGAAAGAGGGAGAGAGAAAAAAAAGAAAGCAGAAGGAAAAAAATAGAGAAGAAGAGAAAAAAAAAGGAAAAAAGAAAAGGAGAATAGGAAGAAATAGAAAGAGTAAGAAGTAAAAAAAGGAAAAAGAAGAAAAAAAAAAAAAAAAAAACAAGGATAAAAATAAAAGAAAAATAAAGAAAGACAAAAATTTCGAAAAGAATGAGAGAAGAGGAAAAGGGAAGACGGAAAAAAAAAAAAGAAAAAAACAAAGAAGAAAAGAGGAGAAAGAGAAAAAAATAAGGAAGAAAAAACTCAGAAAGATAGAAACAAGAAAAGAAAAAAAGAGAATAAAAAAAAACAAGAAAGAAATCAAAAAATAAGTAAATAAAAAGAAGAAAAAAGAAATAGGAAAGGAAAGAAGGAAAAAGAAAAGAAAAAGGAAAAAGAAATAAAAAGGAGAAAGAAAAAAAGAATGAACAAAAGAGAGAAAAAAAAAGGGAGGAAGAAGAAAGAAAGAAGAGTAAAAAAGAAGACAAAAAAGGAAGAATAGAACAAGAGAGAAAAAAAAAACGAAATAAAGTAAAAAGGGAGAAAAGGGGAGAAAAAGGAAGAAAGAGAAAGGTTAAGAGTAAAAAGAAAAAAAAAAAAAGCGAAAAAACAAGACAAAAAAGGATAA